CGCGGACCCTGCTACTAGTGCTGCGGACCCTGGAGTTGGAGCTGCTGCTGGTGCTGCGGACCCAGACGTTGGAGTTGCTGCTGGTACTGCAGACCCAGGCGTTGGAGCTGCTGCTGGTGCTGAGGACCCGGGCGTTGGAACTGCTGCTGGTGCTGCAGACCCGGGCGTTGGAGCTGCTGTTGGTGCTGCAGACTCGGGCGTTGGAGCTGCTGCTGGTGCTGAGGACCCGGGCGTTGGAGCTGCTGCTGGTGCTGCAGACCCGGGCATTGGAGCTGCTGCTGGTGCTGCGGACCCGGGCGTTGGAGCTCCTGCTGGTGCTGCAGACCCGGGCATTGGAGCTGCTACTAGTGCTCCAGACCAGGGCGTTAGAGGTGCTGGGGGTGCTGCTGGAGTTGCTGGAGGTTCTAGTGCTGTCTCTGCTGCTGCAGGGGACACCTCACGGCCGCGGCCGTACTTTGCTCCACTCCTTGAACAGGTTCTTGGTCAGTCACCTCCGCCTTGCCCCCCTCCCTCTGTAGAGTGTCCACAGCCGGTCCAATCGCAGTCACAGCTACCGCCTGCCTCGCCACTTCCTCATCCTTCTCCCTACACTGGTCCTACAGGCGGTCTCACAGAGCGTCGTCAGCCTGAGTCTCGCCCTGTGTCGCCTGTGTCCCATCCTGAGTCGCTTGTTCGTACTACTTCCACCAGTCGCCGTACTCCGCGTGGGCGTCCGCCATCAGTCCCTGGCACGCACCGGATGTCACTGCGTCCCTCCACTACTCCACAGCGTGTCCCTCTGCTGTCTCCTCCTGAGTCCTCTCTTCCTGCTCTTGTTGACCCTGAGTCTGACTCTCTTCGTGCTCCCAGTCCTACTGTCACGCATCTCCTGGCCACTGCTGTCAATGACCCTTCCTTTGAGTCTGCTGCTGCGTCTGCCCTAGTTGCTGAGCTTGTCGAATTTGCTGCTCGCTGTCGTCTAGACTACGCTGCTAGTCTTGTCGCTGAGTCTGAATTTGTCTGTCCTCCGTCTGTCAGGGGTGAGTGTGCTCTTAGCACGAACGTCCTTGAGGACAGACAGGAGGATCTTGAGTGTCTTGCAGCCGCTGCGCCCCATCTCGTGTCCATGCTAGTTGCCCCTGAGGGAGACCCGGATGCACCAGACATCCCGACTCCTCGATCGTACGCTGAGGCGATCGAGGGTCCCTACTCCTCTCAGTGGCAGTCAGCCATGGACGTACAGATGGCTTCCTGGAAGTCCACAGGCACCTACGTGGACGAGGTTCCCCCACCTGGGGCGAACATCGTCAGTGGCATGTGGATTTTCAGGGTGAAGCGGCCGCCGGGTTCTCCGCCTGTCTTCAAGGCTCGTTACGTTGCTCGAGGCTTCAGTCAGCGAGAGGGAGTAGACTTCTTCCAGACCTTCTCCCCCACCCCGAAGATGACCACTCTTCGGGTACTACTGCATGTTGCTGCTCAGCGCGACTACGAGCTTCACTCTCTTGACTTCAACACAACTTTCTTGCAGGGCAGTCTGCACGAGGAGATCTGGCTGCGCCGCCCTCCTGGCTTCACTGGGTCGTTCCCTCCTAGTACCCTGTGGAGCCTCTGCCGGCCGGTCTACGGTCTCCGCCAGGTGCCACGTAAGTGGCACAACACACTGAGGACTACTCTTACGGCACTTGGGTTCTCTCCTTCTTCTGCTAACCCGTCGTTGTTTCTACGCACCGACACTTCACTACCACCGTTCTACATCCTCGTGTACGTCGACGACTTGGTCTTTGCCACAGCTGACACTGAGTCTCTCGCCCACGTGAAGTCGGAGCTGCAGAAGAGACATACGTGCACAGACCTGGGTAAACTGCGCTGCTAACTTTGCTTTCAGATCACCCGGGACAGAGCACGCCGCACCATTACCCTGACTCAGTCACACATGGTGCAGCAGGTCCTTCAGCGCTTCGGCTTCACTTGGTCCTCAGCACAGGCCACTCCTCTGGCTATAGGTCACTCGCTCTCAGCTCTGCCTTTGGATGAGTCCGTAGAGTTGAGTGGTCCTTACCCAGAGCTAGTTGGTTGCCTCATGTACCTGATGACTTGCACTCGTCCTCACCTAGCATACCCTCTTGGCCTTATGGCTTGCTACGTGGCTCCTGGTCGTCACCGAAAGGTGCACTGGGATGCTGCAAAGAGGGTATTGCGCTACTTGTGCAGTACATCAGGTATGGGGCTCGTGCTTGGAGGAGGGAGCTCAGTTGTTCTCACTGGGCACTCATACGCTGCTTGGGCTGACGACCAGGCTACTCAGCGGTCGTCACAGGGTTACACCTTCACCCTTGGCTCTGGTTCAGTTTCGTGGCGCTCTACTCGTTCGTCTTCGGTTCTTAGCTCCAATTGTGAGGCTGAGATCTACGCCACAGCCATGGCTGCACAGGAGTTACGCTGGCTCACCTACCTGTTGACCGACCTTGGAGAGTGTCCTAGTTCTCCTCCAGTGCTGTACGTCGACAACAAGGCTGCCATTGCCTTGTGTGAGGAGCACAGACTTGAGCACAGAACGAAGCACATCGCTCTCCGTTACTTCCTTGCTCGTGAGCTTCAGCAGCGTGGTCATCTTCGTTTGCGCTACGTGGCCTCTCATGCCAACACCGCTGATGTTTTCACCAAGGCACTTCAGCCTGGTGATCATCAGCGCTTCTGTACTTCGTTGGGGCTAGTGCCCACTTTATCTGACTTGTTGTAGGCTTTGCCTGTACTGTGATCTCTATATAAACTCCTGCCTGTTTGCTCTACTAGGTTGAGATCACCCTTGCTGTTTGTACTACTTATATATACTTCTGCATGTGAACTGGCCTTGTGGCCCTTTGCTTGTGCTCGGAGTGTGTGGTGACGTTGTGATCCACCCTGAGCTTGCTTGCCTTTCTTGACTGGTCTTGTGACCCCTTGTTCTCCCCCACTTTGCCTATGGGGGTGTGTCAAACACTATATGTGTTATTTCTGTGTAGGCTATAGTGGGTTAGCCTTTAGGGGGTACACAAAGTTAGGGTTTCCTACTTGTACTCCAACTTTCATAGTACAATCACTTCTTGTTCGTAACAATTTCTACCTCGACTAATTAATCTCGTCGATAAACGACTCGTCGCACATAGATAAAAGTCCCCGAAGTCGCTGATGACCACGAAACGAACACCGTCTTGTTCTGAAATGCATGGTCGACTTCGCCCAAGCGAGGGCGGGGCCTTTTCTCTTCGACACTCCCCTGACCAGCTCACGCTTGGGCACCCAGACACAAGGTCTACCCAGAACCCGGAGGGATAGAATACAAGGAGAAAATTCCTTCTACGTGCGCCGAACACATAGCACGTAGATCACCGCACCAGCCGTGCAGAAAGGGCACGGCACGTACTGCTGCACCTCATCATCCCCATCGCCCACGTCGGCCAGACGAACTTGGCTGATTGAGACGGAGCACCAGTTGAAAGCCGGAAAATGCAGCGCCTCTGTCAGAAAATCCGCTGGCTGCTCGGAGGTCGGGATGTACTGCAGAGCAATCTTCCCGCGCTTCACCATCTGCTGCAGCCAGGCGTAGCGTCGCTCCATGTGTTTGAGGTTGCCCTTGAGCCCTAAGCCCTTTGCGACAGTGATCGCCGACAGGTTGTCCACGTGCAGAACAGTCGGCTTCCTTGCGTCGAGCGGACGGAACTCTGCAAGGAGGAAACGCGGACGGCGAGCCTCTTTGCCAGCTTTGGTAGCCGCGACGTATTCTGATTCGGTCGAGGAAAGCGTTGCGCACTTAATGCGCTGGCTCGACCAGGAGACAACGGCTCCTCCGAAGACAAAAACGTAGCCGCCCGTGCTTGACTGATTCTGCTTGTCGCCAGCGTTGTCCGCCGCCGCACTCCAGAGCAGCGTCACGGGTTTCAGCGAGGTAGTGCAGACAACAATCAACCTCACGCTAGTGGTTGTCGCTCCGCACTGTTAGGCCGGATCCAAGCTTGTTGCAAGCAAAAGCAATGTTGGGCCTCGTCGTGGTGGCCGCGGACTGCAGCGAGCCGACCTTCTGCCGGTACTCTGCTTCCTCGCGCGTCTGAAACTCCTCGTCATCGAACACCAGCTCTGGGTAGGCGTCGATGGAGACCGGCTTCTTCAGCACTCGCCCGGTCTGCTCCTCGTTGATGAAACACTGACGCAGCTTGTCGACGTAGACTTGTTGATGAAGCCACAGCTTCCTCGCAGGACAGTCGCGCACAATTTCCAGCCCGAGATAGTTTTCGCCCGGGCTGATTTTGCGCAGCTCGAAGGCAACCTCCATCAGCTCCTTCAGCTCCTTTAGCATTGCAGTGCTGTTACTTGCAGCGAGCAGATCGTCAACATAGACGAGCACCCAGCACGCCACTCCGTCGTTGCCGACCTTGAAGTACAGCGCCTCATCGACCTGGCTCTTCTGCCAGTTAGTGCCAGTCAGCACCGCGTCGAGCGCCGAGTACCACAGCAGCAGACTCAGCTTCAAGCCGTACAAGCTCCTCAGCAGATTGCAGACTCGGCGAGTTCCATCATTGAAGTAGTCGAGCTGGTACATGTAGAGGAGACGATCCAACTTGCTCTGCAAAAACGCATTCTTCATGTCGAGCCTCATCAGAAGGAGGTCGAGCACCGCGACGATGCTTAGAAAGATCCGCAGAGTTATGTAGCTCCCCACCAGTGCGTACGTCTCGTCGTAATCTACGCCGTAAATCTGTGTGAAGCCTTTCACGACCAAGCGGGCCTTCTCGCGGGCGACCGTGTCATCGACGTGGTACTTCGTCGTGAGCACCCAGCGATACTTTATGGACGTACGAGCGACGTCCATGACCATGCCAATGCGGTGCTCAGCAATCCCATTTTGCTGTGGAGAGGCCGGAAGCGTGAAGGTCTGGAGGATGCCCTATGCACGACAGAAGGCTCCCAGACGGGCAGAGGAATACTCCCCGCCTCTGTCCGAGTGCAGACGCAGAACAGGAAAGTCCGAGCACACGTGCAGTGGGTCACTCGCTGACTCGCAGGAGTGAACTGGTCAACCCCCCTATCCTGTAGGTCCACTCCACTCACCAAGTTCGTAGAGAACGAGGGGAGGTAGAGACCTGACAGGGTGCCAGAGGGGGCTGCCGGGCACAGTAAGACAGTGGAGAAGCTAGCAAGGATAGGACCCCCAGAGGGGTCCGCCAGGGAGACCGCAACCGGCCGACGGAGCGGCGTAAGAGTGGTGTGGTCTCGAAAGAAGGAGCAGGACGCACCCGAGTCAAGGGTGAAGGTGTGTAAGGCCAGAGTCGACGTAGTACCTGAGAGCGCAGACTCACCAGCACCTTGGGCAGCAGATGCACTAGCACCTGGGGCAGCAGACGCACTGGCACCTGGGGCAGCAGACGCACCAGCACCTAGAGCAGCAGCCGCACCAATACCTAGAGCAGTGGCCTCAATGCCCGGGTCAGGCGGTACACACAGGTAACAGTCACCCTCAACACTAGTAGTCACAGAATACATGGCAGCAAGGATAGCATCATAGTCAAGATCAAAGACGGCAACCCCCGCCCTAGACAGATCTCCCCAGCGAAGGATCTCTGACGCCTCAGGGAACTGGCGACGCCACGCGTCCGTCAGGCGACCGCAGCAGCTGTGGGTGGAGTGCGGGCCTCGGCACTGCTCACCAGCTCGGTCGCCGGTACGGAGGACGTAAGTGCAGGGACCAAAACCCCCACCGCGCTGACGCGTAGTGTACCACTCACGAAGCTGCTGAGGGGACAGGGTCACACCACTCCGCTGCTGCTGGCGCGGACCACCACCTGAGCCACTCCTCTGCGCAGAGTCGCGACCCGCTCCACCACCGCCGTCGCCGCCTCCGCCGCCTCCTCCACCTCCGCCTCCTCCACCACCTCCGCCTCCTCCGCCACCTCCGCCTCCTTCGCCACCTCCTCCACCACCACCGCCTCCGCCGCCTCCACTGCTGCCGCCGCCGCTGCCACCCCCCGCACCACTCCCACCACCACCCCAACTCCCTCCACTGCCTCCATCACCACCTCCACCGCCCCCTCCAGCCCCTCTAGTGCCCTTGCCCCCCTTGCCCTTGCCGGTGCGGCGTCTCCCGCTCGGGGCAGACGCAGCGCCGACCGACTCGAAGCCAACGAGGTCGGCCGCAGCAGCATGGCGCTGCGCCAGGCGCCCTGTGAGTGGCACGACACACTGAGGACTGCACTTGCGGCTCTTGGGTTTGCTCCTTCTACAGCCAACCCGTCGCTGTTTCTGCGCACCGACACCTCTTTGCTGCCATTCTACATCCTCGTGTTTGTCGACGACCTGGTCTTTGCCACTGGTGACACTGCTGGACTCGCCCATGTGAAGTCCGAGCTGCAGAAGAAACATACCTGCACAGACCTGGGTGAACTGCGCAGCTACCTTGGCTTGCAGATCACCTGGGACAGAGCACAGCGCACCATTACCCTGACTCAGTCACACATGGTGCAGCAGGTCCTTCAGCGCTTCGGCTTCACGTACTCCTTGCCTCAGGCCACTCCTCTGTCTACTCGCCACTCGCTCTCAGCTCTGCCTTCGGATGAGTCCGTAGAGCCGAGTGGCCCGTACCCAAAGCTTGTTGGCTGCCTCATGTACCTGATGACCTGCACACGACCTGACCTTGCATACCCTCTTAGCATCTTGGCACGCTATGTTGCTCCTGGGAGACACCGACCAGAGCACATGGCTGCAGCGAAGAGGGTGTTGCGCTACGTGTGCAGTACGTCAGGCATGGGGCTAGTGCTTGGAGGGCGACGTCGAGTGGTCCTCACAGGTCACGTAGACGCTTCTTGGGCTGACGACCAGCCGACACAGCGGTCGTCACAGGGTTACACCTTCAGCCTTGGTTTCAGCTCTGTTTCGTGGCGGTCTACCCGCTCGTCTTCTGTTCTCACCTCCAGCTGTGAGGCTGAGATCTACGCAGGGGCCATGGCTGCACAGGAGCTACGCTGGCTCACCTACCTGCTGACTGACCTAGGAGAGCCGCCTCATTCTCCTCGAGTTCTGTACGTAGACAACAAGGCCATGCTGGCCTTGTGTCGGGAGCACAGACTGGAGCACAGAACGAAGCATATTGCTCTTCGCTACTTCCTGGCTTGTGAGCTGCAGCAGCGTGGTCAGCTCTGCCTCACCTACGTGGTCTCTGAGGCCAACACTGCTGATATCCTTACCAAGGCCCTTCTGCCTTGTGATGATCAGTGGTTCTGTGCTATGCTAGGTCTTGTGCCTACTTGGCCTCACTTGCTCACTTCTTGACCTTGTTTGTACTGTACTCTTTCTATACTTGCACTTGCTTGTTTACCTTTATATATATGATCTTGCATGTGAACTGGCGTTGTGGCCTTGCTCTTGTGCTCGGACTGTGTAGTGACGTTGTGATCCACCCTGAGCTTGCCTTGCTTTGCTTGATTGGTCTTGTGACCCCTTTTTCTCCCCCACTTTGCCTATGGGGGTGTGTGAGGCATATATGCTATAGTCTGTGTAGGCTGTAGTGGGGCAGTTCATATGGGGTACAACACTTTAGGGTTTACTACTTGTACTCCTCATTCTGCTCAATGCATTCATTCCTCGTTTCTTATCAAAGGCGCGACCAAGGAATTCCCCTCCGCGGTCCGAACGCAACTTCTTCACCGTCTTTGATGTCTGGCGCTCCACCTCCTTTAGCCATTTTTCGAAGATGACCAGCACGTTGCTTTTCTTCGCGATTTGCCGAATCCACACACAGTGAGTCTTCCGATCTTTCAGAAGAAGAAAGTAGAGGCTGCCATCGTTGGCGGCCACCCAAAATGGCCCGCAGAGATCGACGTGCACTACATCGAGTGTGTTCTCGGCTTCTGCACCTTTGTCGGGAAAGGTGTGCCTTGCCTACTTGCCGCCGACACAAGAGGCACGTGGAGATCAGCTGCGGTTGACTTCTTGATGTCCAAACCGGCGGCGATCTCATGTTTTGCCGAGCTCTTGATCGTGTCAACGCCGATGTGCGCAAGCCTTGCGTGCAACATGTCCGGGGTCAACTTCGTCGCAGACGCAATCGTCCGCAGAGCCACAACCTCCGTCAAAGTCGTCGTCGACTTCGTCGAGCAGGGGCGCAGGTCGGTGCAGAGTACTCTACCGGAGTAGCGTGCTCGACCAAGGACATCGCCGGCAGAAGACACCAGCAACATCTCTCCACTGTCATCCTGCAGCTTCACGCCGTTCTCCTTGAGCTGGCCCGCGGACAGCAGATTTGCGTGCACACCCGTAACGTAGAGTATGTCGGGGATGAGGATCTGCTTCCCGGCCTCCCCTTGCAGAGCAATGGCGCCTCTGCCTTCGACGCTCAGAAGTGCCCTGTTGAAGCCGCGGACGTGGCGTACATCTCCGCTCGGCTGCATGTCGACGAAGGCCTCCTTCATCCCCGACAAATGGTGGAAGCAGCCGCTGTCGAGTAGCACAATGGTCGGATTGGCCTGCACGGCAGAAACGACCGCCTTGAAGTCTCTTCTAGCCTCCAGTGCCAGCGAGATCGTCGGCTCCACCACGCTGACCATCGAGCACGAAGCCTCCTCGCCACGAGCATTGCCGCCAGAGGAGTCCACATCCTTTGTCGAAGACGTCTTCGATGGCTGCTTCTCCTTGCGCGGCTAGTTGTCTCGACAACGACGTCCACCATCAGACTTTCTGCGGTTGGCGTCCCGGTCGTCGTCAAAATCGTCTCGGTCGAGGCAATCATACCAGAGGTGGGCCGGAGCATCGCAGATGTTGCAACGACGACCTTCACGATGCGAGCCACTGCTGCCGCAATCTCCACCTTTCGCCGAATTCCCGCAGTCAGCGCCCTCCGTCGATTTCACGTTCGATGACTTCCAGCCACTGCCTCCAGCAGACTTCCCACACTGCCCCTATTGGTGTCCCTGCTTTGCTGGGGCGACATAGTTGGCCTACGGAAGCAATTTAGCAAGTCGCTTAGACTCCTGCATGAACTTGTCCTAGATGATGTGGTTCGAAAGTGAGTCCTCGTTCAGAGTCTCACGCGTGCCGGGAATTGTCAGCATCCAGCACATCAGATTGTAGCTCGAGGGGAGGCCACTGATGACATGAGTGACATAAGACGCCACCGAGTAGTCGACGCTGATCGGCCAGAACTCGCCGCGCTCGATTGCAGTACTCGGTTGCGGATTCCTGCTCCCCCACCCGAATGTTGGTCAACTTCTTCTCCAGCTGACTGATGTAGAGGTCGTCGGTCGCTTTGTAGGTGCGCATGATGTACTGCCATGCTTGGTAGCCAGCATCCTTCCGCTGTTTGCACGACTTCAATGCGACCTGCACCAGAGGCGAGCAACACCTCGAAATAACCATGAAGGTTAGTATATGAGCAGCGCGAAATTCCGTCCAAAGTTCAGAGTCATCTGCGTCTGTCGTCGCAACATTGCCGTCGACGAACCTTTTATCCGGCGATCTCTAGCTGCAGCTCAATAGATTCAATCCACGTGATCAAGTCGTGTCAACCTTCGAACGGCTTCGGCATAGCGATCTTGTCCGGCAAGAATTTAAAATATCCGTATGCCAGCGCGATGCCTCCGTCTCGACCAGCCGACCCATGAGTCGTCGAAATCGACCTGACTCCACTCCGCAAAGGAGATTGACGTCGACCATCGATGTTGCCGTTCGAGCTGCCTCCAGTCGCAGACGCAACATTTGCGTCTGCATTCCTCCAATGCTGCCGTCGGCGGGCCAAATCACTCTGCGAACCCTCGTGCTTCCACCGCCGACAACATTTCCGCCATCGCCTTCGTTGTGCACGAGTCGAGGAGAGGCTGACGCATTATTCGCTTTAGCACGGAGAGTGGGGTGCTCACGTGCCCACTGCGCACGAGTTCCAAGGAGCAGAATCTCCAAGTCCGCCTCGCCGTAACCGCCAGCCTCGTAGCGTGCCAAAACACCAGCCTCTTTTGTCTGCAGGGTATCTTCTACGCCTGCTTCGACGATGGGGTCGACCAAGGCGACCAAGACGGCTGCCGGCCTAACAACAACTTAGGTAATGAACGCAGAAGTCGGCTATCTGACGGTTCTAACGCGGGGCCGTCCACGCTCACCGCACCATGCGGAGAATACTATTCTACGGGAGAGCTTGACTAGCGTGGGACACACGGTCAAAGTTTTGACAGTGATTCTTAGAAGTGAACTTGGTTGCCTTGGTAAGATTCAAGCATAGTTCCACTAGCAAAAGTTGATAGAACAAGAATATGGTACAAGCAAGAAGAACCAAATAGCAAAGACAATGAACCCTGTAGAAACGTTCCTTGACAAGCACTTGAATCTGTCGAGTCAGCAACGTCAGGTGAAACGACAAGCACATGCACATTTCATATGAGTTGGTAGTTGCTCAGGTTTACAACGTTCTTAGTTGTGCACGTTTTTACTGTTAGTAAAAACGTGTTTCAGGTTCTGTAAGGAAAATTCTTTTTCCTTACTTCACGTCCCCGCTCAACGCGTACACCACTGTAGCACCACAGTCAGCACCGTTACCACTCGCAACTCTCGCATCGACAATCCACCCGCCACCTTCGCACGTCGCACCCCGACCTCACGGCTCGGCGGGTAACCCGCGCTCCAGGCCTCCACTTTGACACTTTTCCCAACCTCAGTCCCACGCCCGTCACGCGACAACCACAGTCCATTACCGTTACCACTGTAGTTTCGCTATATATTCTTTGCTCATGCCTTCGCTCATTGTACTCTTGCTTCGATAGTGCAATTCTCGCTTGCTCACTCAATTGCACTCGTAACACTTGGTATTTAGAGCCTACGATCTCCTCTCGAACCGCACCCACACCTTCGCTTCCTCACTATCTCAATTTTTGGGGGGGGTGAACGTCTCTCAGCGACACAGAATTGCCGCTCGTAGTGCTCTCTCGTACGCACGGCCACAACAGAGGCTCTCGCTGAGCTTGCCCGACACCCCCGCCATGGCCGAATTCACGCTCGCAACATTGATGCAGGAACAGCTCGACCGTCTGGTGTGCCAACTTGAAGATTCGGCGCTCGAAATTGCGACGCTCACGGCGGAACGTGACTCCACGCGTCAGCAATCCACGTTGAACACTCCAACACCACCACACGCACCGACAAATGCATCTGCACAATCGAACGA